CAAGCCCGTCTGTTAAACACTTTGGCTGACCTTCCTTCTCCATCCATCACCCAGGTCTGCCGGTCCCCAGCAAAAGCCTCATCCTTCTTATTTTTCCGTCCTCCTTCGTCTCAGAGTTGACTGCACAGGAAACATGTCCCCCTGCTTAGCAATATGGGAAAAACAGGTTCTGCCTCAAATCCTGCAGAAGGATTACCTCCAATGTCTTTTCTTTAATGATAATAATTATGTGCTGTATTTTCTTTATATAATTACAAATAATGTTTGATGTTGCCTTAGCATTTTTAAGCAGCCAGCATACTTCAGTGTACATAGTTATACTTGTAATGTTTTGTTATTTCCTCTGACTTTGTGTGTTTGATTGTTTGACTGACTGACTGACTGATTGATTGATTGAGTCTGAGTCTCCCACCTCTTCTTGACATGTTCGCCACCAAATGGGTCCGTCCGCTGATGTAAATCGGAAGCACTGCACAAGAGCTTCTGTCTTTTTAAACGGTTACTATTATAATCACATCTACAGTAAACATTAGAGGGTTTGTTAGGGCACCTGCATTCACGATGCCCTAACAAACTCCTCCTTCTTGAAGAGGTCAAGAAAAGGAAGAGGAATAAAAACAGTTGGATGCTGAAATTGGGGGGGGGTGTTACGTGAGGTTTTGCTTCATTAAGTGCTTGATGGCTAATTGCTGAGATAAATTATCCACACGAAAAGATAGCGGAAGAAAAAAGACTCTGAAAAAAGGGTATTTAAGGCTGCTAAAATTTCAAAAGACTATTGTGCGAGGTAAAACACCCCATTTACTGTATTCACATCAGAAACTTGGAAAACTTTTTTTGAACGGCACCTCCGAGAACTGCAGTTCCCAGATTCTGGGAATGGTAGTTTGATACCCAGTGTGGTATAGTGAATAGAGTGATGGGCTAGGACTCAAGAGGTTGGTATTCAATTTCCCATCAGCCATAGAAACTCATTGGAAATTTGGACGGGGTATTTTCATCATTAGGCATCCTTCAGTCTGGAGAGACTATGGTAACATGCTCTGAATGGAAGACTTGGAACAGCATATAGTGTGGCTGAGAAGGCCAATTCAAGAGTGACCATACCTTCCACACTGAAGACAAATCCAGTCTGTCCCCTCTCCAGCTCCCTGGTTTGGCTGCTTCCAGGACGGCCTCTTTGCCTCGGCCTGCTGGACAACGGTCTCTTCAAATTGGGAGAGGCCATGATGCACTGCCTGCCTCCAGGCTGAACGCTCAGATGTCAAGGTTTACCATATGTTGAGGTCCATTCTTAGGTCTTCAGATCCCGCTTGCAGATCTCCTTGTATCACAGCTGTGATCTCCCTCTGGGGCAATTTCCCTGCACTAATTCTCCATTCAGGAGATCTTTTGGAATCTGACCATCAGCCAATCTCATGACATGCCTGAGCCAACATAGGCATTGCTGTTTCAGTAATGTATACATGCTAAAAATTCCAGCTCGTTCTAGGACTACTCTGTTTGGGACTTTGTCCTGCCAGGTGATACCAAAAATGCGTCGGAGGCAACGCATATGAAAGTTGTTCAGCTTTCTCTCCTGCCATGCACAAAGGGTCCAGGACTCACTGCAGTCCAGGAGTGTGCTCAGGACACAGGCTCTACAGACCTGGATCTTGGTACAGTAGTGCCTTGCATAACGAGCGCCCCATTTAACGACGAATCTGCATAGCAATAGGGAAAACATCGCATTGCGATGATCAGTGAGTATTTCGCTTACCGATCTTCGCATTGCGATGTTTTAAAACAGCTGATCAGTGGTTCCAAAATGGCCGCCGGAAGAAAAAATGTCTGCCTGCAGCGTTTTCACGCGGTTTCCTCGCTTACCGAGCGAAAATGGCGGCTGTATGGAGGATTTCCACTTAGCAGTGAGTTTATCCCCCATAGGAAAGCATTGAAGGGGTTTCATTGCGTTCCTATGGGGTTTTTTGCCCCATATAGCGACCTTTCCAGATAGCGACGATTTATCCGGAACAGATTATCGTCGCTATGTGGGGCACCACTGTATATACCGTCAGCTTCTTATTAAACCATACTCTCTTTGTGAGTTTAGAGAACGTGGTAGCTGCTTTGCCAGTGGGTTTATCCAGCTCGACATCTAGGGAGAGAGTGTCAGCGATCGTTGAGCCAAGGTACACAGTCATCAACAACCTCCAATTCTTGTGTGGAGATGATAATAGAGGAAGATGAGTCCACGCCCTGGCCCATGACTTGTCTTTTCTTCAGACTGATTGTTAAGCGAGACATGGCAGGTCTTGCTAAAGTGATTCATGAGTTGTTGGAGGTCTTCGGCAGAGTGGGAAACAATGGCTGCACCATCAGTGAACAGGAGGTCCCGCATTTCAGCTGGACTTTGGTCTTTGCTCTCAATTTAGAGAGATTAAAGAGCTTTCCATCTAATCTAGTCCGGAGATAGACACCTTCTATTACAGTTCCAAAGGCCTGCTTCAACATGACCGCAAAGTAAGATTCCAGGGAGGATTGGCGCAAGGACACAACCCTGTTTCACTCTGCTTCGAATGTCAAAGGGATCTGATGCCATCAAAAACTACAATGCCCTTCATTTCCTCATGAAAGGGCCTGATGATGTTAAGGAATCGAGGTGGACATCCAATCTTGGGAAGTATTTTAAAAAGGCCATCCCTGCTAACCAAATCAAAGGCCTTTGTGAGATCTATGAAAGCCACAAAGAGTGACTGTCATTGTTCCCTACATTTCTCCTACAACTGTGTGAGGGAGAATACCATGTCAGTAGTGGATCTATTAGCTCAAAATCTACACTGTGATTCTGGATAGATTCTGTCTGCAAGCACCAGGAATCTCTTCAGCACAACACGGGCCAGCAGCTTCCCTACAACGCTAAGAAGAGAGATGCCAGGGTAGTTATTGCAGTCAGCCCTCTCTTCTTTGTTCTTATACAATGTGATTATGTTTGCATCCTTCATGTCCTATGGTAGTCCACCTTTCCTCCAGAAAAGACAAAAGATTTCATACATCTCAGTGGTGATGATCTCTTTACAGCACTTCAGCACTTCAACAGGGATGTTATCCTTTCTAGGTGCCTTGCCGGAGGCGAGGGAATCCAAGGCCACTTTTATTTCTGCTAAAGTTGGTTCTCTGCCCAGCTCTTTCAAAACAGGCAGGCATTTGATGTTATTTAATGCTTCTTGGGTTATTACATTCTCTCTGGAATATAGCTCAGAGTAGTGCTGCACCCAGTGTTCCATCTGCTGTGCTCAGTCCTGGAGGATCACACCTGTAGTAGACTTCAAGGGAGCAGATTTCTTCTGTATTGGACCTAAGGCCTGCTTGATACCATCATACATTCCCTTGATGTTACATGTGTCCGCTGCTATCTGTATCTGAGAGCAGAGCTGAAGCCAATAATCGTTGGAACATCTCCTGGCAGCCTGTTGGACTTTGCTATGAGCAACTTGAAGAGCTTGCAAGTTGTACTCACTAGGACAGGTTTTGTATGCTGCTGGAGCTCTCCTCTTTTCCTCAATGGCTGGCATCAGCTCCTCTGAATGGGCTTCGAACCAGTCTGCCGTCTTTTTGGTCTTCTTGCCAAAGGTGGACAAAGCAGTGTTCTATACAGCGTTCTTGAAATGTTCCCATCGTTCAGGTACATTTACATTAGCCGGACCTGGAAGGATTTCCTCAAGCGCTTGGGCAAATTTCTTCACTCTTCTTTGATCGCGAGTCTTGCTGATGTCAACATGTGGTCTTCTTTCCCTTTTTTGTGTGATACAATCTCTTTGCTCGCAGTTTTACTCTACTACACACCAGGGAGTGATCAGTAGCGCAATCAACACTCTGTGTGTGATTGTAATACTAGGATGGCTATAATGTCTAGTGAGGATCAAATCGAGCTGATGCCAATGCTTCAATCTTAGATGTTTCCAGGAAAATCTGTGTTGAAACTTGGTATTAAAGAAGGTATTGCTCACACAGAGACCATAATAACAGCAAAACTCCAGCAAGCATTGGCTATTTTCATTCATCTTCCCAATGCCAAAACTGTTGAGAATTTTGATTCTGGAGGAACGTGTATTCTCATAACATCATCAGAGTAAGGTGATATCAGTTAGCAGCGATACTTATGACGCTATGACACTGAGAAAGTAAAACCAACAACTTAGTCTATTTGCATATATACATAGAGAATAGACATTCTGCCGGCAGCATCACCTGACATGAAGCAACAACACACAGCATAGGAAAAAGTGATCTGACTTACAGCAGATAAAGATGTTCATTTTACACATGACTTATGTACAGTTCTGTGACCAATCAGAAAATACATTACTTCATTTTCTGTTACACAAAGTTTCATCATGTACACAGCTGTACAACATTAAGTCTTAATCCTTGATACCCACACCTGAATACAATCAGTACAGTGACTCAGGTAAAATCAGCCATTCTACATTTTCATATCAAAATCTCAACAAAAACAGCCTAGACGAGTGGGCCAGGAATTGTGATCAGCACCAACTCTAGCGTTAAAATCTCTGAGAATGAACAGCGGCTCTCTCTCTGAGACTTTTTTTGATAGTAGCTGCCAGATTGTCATAGAATTCGTCTTTGACTTCTGTTGTGGACGACAGTGTTGGTGTATATGCACTGATGAGGGTGACCAGTCCCGCTGATGAGTGGAGCTGCAGAGACAGGATTCTTTCACTCCCCACAGTAGGTGGAACAATGGATCTCAGCAGAGCATTTCTGACCGCAAAGCCAACACTATGTTCCCTGGTCTCATTCAACGGTCGGGGTAGAACACTCCTTAAATATCTCATTTACCCCAAAAGCCCTTTTAGGGTCACCATAAGTAGATTCCCAACATGATTGGGAGCTGCCTGGCCTCGTTGCCCATCCGTGTTGCTTCTCTGTTCCTGCTCTGTAGTCTCTTCCCCTACTCCCTGGGCTCTTTTTTGACCTTGGTCCTTTTCTGCTTCCAGATGGCCGTCTATTTCTGTGCCGGGGCGCTGGAGGACGAGGCACTCTTTCGCCACTACGCCTTGAACGTGCCGCTCTACACCCACTTCACGTCCCCTATCCGTCGCTTCCCAGACATCCTGGTGCATCGTCTACTGTCCGCTTCTCTGGGTAGGTTCTCCTGGAGAGGGATGCAGCTGGCCCCGTTCCCTCTGGGGTCAAATGGGAAAGGGGAGCACACGGGTCCATAACATGCGCCCCGCTGGCTGAGCGTAGCCCCAAGAGAGACACATACCCTTCTCTTTCTTTATGAGTCCTCTAAATTCTCCCCAAAACCTTGCTCTTGAAAGGCCCCTGTGAATTGAGCCACCAGGCTTGGACGGCTACCCAAGGAAGCTCCGTTGAAAGCAAGCCAAACATCTCGTTTTCAATCAGTAACGTGATTTTGCTGCTGGATTTCAGCTGCCAGGGGAGGCAGTGGCCCAAAGGAGGCTTAATTGACCCCCCTAGACCCACTGAAGTTGCCGGCTGCTCAAACAGTTGCATAGCCAACTATACCAGAAGCTCATGGGCAGCCCCTGGAAGCCACGACTCAACTTAGGGCAACCACATTGAGTGGATTTGTTCGTCAGATTACATGAGGGGAAGAACCAGAACTTGGATGAGGACTTCCAATCATCCCTGACCCTTGGCCAAGCTGGCTGGGACTGATGGGAATCGGAGTCCTTCAAGATCTGCAGGGCACCACCATATGTTTGCACCTGGCTTAAACCCTTCAAACTATCTTAATGGTCTCGAGGGTGTTTTGACTGGAGCCGAAGGGATTTGGAGCAATGAATATGTGGCTAAGGTTCCACTGCTCACATTTCCTGGAGTGCTGAGCCTCTTGTCATCTATTCAGAACAAAACATCCTAGCCAGAAACATATGGGATCCTGTCCTGCTCTCTGACACCTTTGTCTTAAGAGGGGTAAGGTAAAGGTAAAGGTTCCCCTTGACATTTTTAGTCAGTTGTGTCCGACTCTAGGGGGCGGTGCTGATCCCCGTTTCCAAGCCATAGAGCCAGCATTTGTCCAAAGACAATTTCCGTGATCACGTGGCCAGCGTGACTAGACACGGAACGGCGTGACCTTCCCACTGAGGTGGTCCCTATTTATCTACTCACATTTTTACATGCGTTCAAACAGCTAGGTTGGCAGGAGCTGGGACAAGCAACAGGAGCTCCCTGCGTCATGTGGATTTGATCTCACGACGGCTGGTCTTCCGACCTTGCAGCACAGAGGCTTCTGCGGTTTAACCCGCAGCGCCACCACGTCGCATCAGGGTGGGTGGGTTTAAATAGGTTGCAGGGCCTGCAGCTCCAACCTGGACAGCTGCTCTTCTGTCCCTCTCCTCGCCATCAGCTGTTTCCTTTTCAGGCTCCGGACCAGCTCTACAGATGGAGGAAACAACGATCCAGAAGCAAGCGGAACACTGCAATGACCGGAAGATGGCCTCGAAGAGGGTACAGGAGCTGAGTGCCGACCTCTTCTTTGCTGTCTTCGTCAAGGTGAGACCCAGCAGCTCTTGGGAGGCGGTCTGGCACAGCCAGTCGAAGGGCGAATGAACTCTAAAGACCTAGGACTTCATAGATACTAACCAGAGAGGTTTTTTAGCGGCAGCAGGAAAAGGGAAAGTCCAGGAAACAACGGCATACATTCATCATCAGCCTTCCCTCATCTGGTCATTTTCCAGATGTCCATCGGCCTCTAGACTGTGTCACGAGAAGGAAGGCAGCATGGGCCTGTTGTAAAACTTTTGATGTCAAATCCCCCCCTCCAAATCCATTTTTTTCCTGGGGAAACATTGGGGGGAAACAGTTTTTTCCCCCAGAAAAATATGGAAAATTTTCAGAAATTTTAAATCTGTCTTTTTTTACTTTTTTTAAAGCTGGCTGAATAGTGTAGGGAGCTGGGTCCCTGCCTGTGGAGCCAGAGGGCTGGGAGTTTGATTCCACACTCCGCTTCTCAGAGAAGGGCCAGCCTGTGTGGCCTTGGGCAGCCTGCAGAGCCCCCAGGGCACCCCCAGAAGAAGAGGCAACGGTCGACCACTTCCGGCAAAGGGTCACCCTAAGTCAGTGATGGCGAACCTATGGCACGTGTGCCACAGCTAGCACGCGGAGCCCTTTCTGCCGGCACGCGAGCCGTAAGTTGCTAGATCACTACTCCCTCCCCCCTCACAGCGAGCCCTGCTCCCTCCCCCCTCACAGCCAAAACTGAGCAGGCGTCTGCAACTGCGGTGCTGGTGGCCGGACAGGCGGCGGGCCAGGATCCGGAGCAGCTGGTGCTGGCAGCATATCTAGAGTGGGGTCTCGAGGCACGTCCATGCCCGGGATTCCCCTTTCTGCTGCCACTTCCAGTTCTGGCACCACCATTACACACCGCCCCCTGTTTTTTTTTTCTTTCCGGTTTGGGCACAGGAGCCCAAAAAGATTTG